CCCCCCAATTGCTTTGCTTTAAAATCCCTGCCAATTCCTTCCTTTAAAACCTCTTCCCACTCACCCCATCTCCTTCAAATCTTTAAAAACCTCTCAATAATAATCACACCCGCCCTCCTTCTTCTCTCTTTCAACCCCATCTCCAGCCCTCCCCATCAAACTTTCATTCTCTCCGGCCAAAGTCTCCTTCCACACTCCTGCTCTGCATAATTATTATTTTGGATAGAGACCAGCTTTGGGTTCATAATGTTTCTCGCCTCTGTACATTATGAACATTACAGCATTTAGGAGGCAGGCTCCTGGTTTGAAAGAGCAAGTCAGGGACAATGACTGTATATGGACATCCATCCACTTTCTGAACACTCCGTAAAACAGAACGCGTCTCAGGTTTTATTGTCACGATTCTCCACTGTCGAAAACAAAAGGCTAAACCATAATAATAATAATACGTCCACTTTCGTCTCAATGTCATTGTTTTGTTTTTATATTTTGTTATTTTTTTAGGGAGGGGGGTTGAGTTGTTTTTTTTGGGGGGGTCTCTTTGTTTTTTTGTTTTGTTGTCTTGCATCGTGAGATCCTTCGCGATTCTCACTTTTATTATAGGCTGGTTTTTAGCTGAATGGGCAGTCAAAGAATCCTCACTCACGAGATCTCATACTAAAAGAATCAAATTTAAATTGCCCAAGACGGCCAACAATTGTGGAAGAGGAAGGTTTTTGTTTTAGGCAGTGTCGTTATAATGTTATAGGAAAAAACCCAACATGTGGAGGTTGGAATCATCAAGACTCCTGACTCTTTCTGCAGCCTTTCTACTGCTACTCCCAGGCCCCTTCTTACTGCTGTCTTTCAGTCACACTCCTGATCTTCTGGAAGGAAAGATCTACACCTAGCCTTCTCGTATAAGAGCAAAAATTCTTGGAGGTCCCGTGTGGAAGTTCGGCACGTTAAAGATTCCTTGGTGGTCCAAAAACGATAAGAGTATAGGCTTCGGCCGCCTCCTGGGCAAAATTCAAATTTCCTACCACCTGAAAATGTTTGATGTGTCCCGCGTGCTCGCATGACTTTATGCAGTTGCGTGCGTTGTAAAACATTTACCCCCCACCCCCACCCCCCCACCCCCAGCAAGAAAAAAAAGAGGTCGGAAGTAGTCGTTTTTACAGATGTAACGATTTGGATTGATAGACGTCTTGAACAGTGTCATTATATATTATACTGTTATATAAAATACCATACTTGTGGAGGTTGGAAGTGGTCGTTTGTACAGATGGAACGTCCAGGATAGTGTGGTTATCATCATCATCATCCAGTGCCAGATCTGCGACAGACATCGGCGATCATGGTTTTCCATTCATTCCTTTGCTCGGATGCTCTAAAAAAAAAGCTACGTTTCCCTGATCTTTTCCTGTTACCCATTTGTTTAGGTTCCCTAAGTATGTTGTTCTGGGCCTACCCCTGCCTCGCTTGCCCTCAATTTTGCCAGTGAGAGCTAGATGTTCAAGCCCCTTATGTCTCTTCAGGTGTTCCAAAAACTGCATTTATCGTTTCCTGGTTGTTTTTAACCTTGAGCGTCCCACGTGGGCTTCATCAAGCACTACAGCATTTGATTTCTTTTCCTTCCACGATACTCTTAGCAGTCTCCTAAGAAACCACTTTTCTGTTGTGTGTCGTTGTAATGTTATAGAAAAAAAACCCCGTTCGTGCGGAGGTTGAAAGTGGTCGTTTTTACAGACCGAATATCGTGAACAGGTGGCCGTCAAATAGGTTCTATGGTAGACTAGTGACAACACGATGAGAGACCCTTGTCTTCCCAAGGTCACCGTTTACTCAGTTCATTTTTGGTTGCTTTCAAAAACGTTTTTAAAAAAGAATATATTTTAAAGACTGTACCAGTGTGGTGTACAAGTTAAACCCTTCACTGTCGCACTCAAGAGATGCAAGTTTGATTTCTGATTGGGGACTTTTTTTTACTGAGCATCTCGGTGTGTATGCGTTGATGTTGTATCCCTCAAAGCCCAGGTTGGTCCTGACAGGCAGTGTTGGAAGAACGCCTCTTATAATAATTATCTAAATTATGTCGATAGGGACGTAAAAACAGAAACAGAAAAAAATGAAAATACTTAAGACCATTTGCAACAAAACTGGGAGAAACCTCTTTATCCTCCCAAGTCCATTC